TAATCCATCCTGCTTTTTACACTGGATCACTTTGTACTGTTCTGGAGTTTGTTCATTCAGGGCAACAGATGGCCCCCTCCCTTGGCCAGGTAGTACTGGGCCAGCCTCAAGGCAAACTACCTACTGAGAGCTGTTTGGGTGAGGGTGAGGGGGTGTGTAGGGGGGAGGCACTTCTGGCTTCAACTTGTTCTGGTTAGAACAAAGGTCAGGTTTATTTTAAAAGCTCTGCTCCACTGAGGCAGGATTGCACATGCTGAAGGCTAGGCTTGCTGGCATGGCAGCTCTGTGGCTCGAATGTGAGCCAAGTCTCCTGTCGGGGGGGGGGAGTATTCATGTTGTGTCTTCCGTTGGGTACAGAACATTCCAATGCCGGAACTCGGTCTAGGCTGATGTTGCCATAAAAAAACGGTCCTCTCTGCTGTAAAACCTGGCCCGGAGTGTTTTTTGGGGCTGGTGTTTCGAGCACGGCTGAGCTGCCAGGGACTCCATGTGTGTTCCTGAAATAGTGCTGTGCCCTGGGGTATCTGTAAGCAGCTAGCCGCCTAATCAGCTCAGAGGAACTGACGTGAGAGCTGTGCGCACCTGCAGAAGCTCTGGCTTCAAACGCTGGGTGATCGGACCTGATGGCTTGCCGGGTTCACTTGGTTCTCTGTGCCACTGCTTGCCTGCTGCTGTAGCTAGATAGCATGGCTGAAATCAGTGTGGTTTCTTTTCAGTCCGTCAGCAAAGCTGGTAGGGGGGGGTGTGTGTGTTTGGGGAGGGGGGTATACATCACAGTTGGTAGGAGTGTGTATGTGGGGAGGGGGGTGTACACGTCAGGGTATGTAGCTTTTGGCTTTTAATCCTTAGCACCAGTCTCCTGGCTCCAATCTCTAGTCTCTTTCCCCTTGACTAGTGGATTGAGGTTTAACCGGCACTGATGCAAGCTGCCTAAATAAGTGAATGACGTACACAGCTTAGATAGCAGTGGCAGACTTTGTCTCTGCCGCTGATTCAGCTCCTGGCTCCATAATGCCAAGCCCAGTGTGAGTGGGAAGAGGTCACTATAGACCAGCAGTAGGCTCAAAGGTTGCTTGTGCCACCCACATCCGATGGTAAAATCTCCTTAAGCTGCCAACGTGTAGCCTGCCTCATGAGAACTGTATAAGCACAAGGTACATCCTGCATGCACAGTGTCATTAACTATTGACGGGCGTGTGTGCACGGCAGATAGGAACCTGCAGCTGACGCAGGCTGATGGCCCCACAACCTGCGCCCTATTTTAATTGTGATGTGCAAGGTCTACACTAGAAGTCTAGCTAGGTCTGTGGCCTAGGACCCTCCCACCTTGGAGGATTGTAGAACCCAAGTGCCAGTGTCGATGCTGAAATTAGACACCCCGCAAGCCAAGCTCTGAGATTGTCAGCAGACGAAGGCCAGATGTGGATTCTTTTAATTACAGTGTAGACCTGTGCTTGCAAATACTCCTGGCCAACCAATATGTTATCAGAGGCCTAATTAAACTCCACATTAGATTGCGAAACTAAAAGGTTATTTGTGGAGGCTTGTGCAATCCAGTCGGGTGGTCAGGAGGTTTGGGTGCCCGTGACTTGTACAGAGGGGAAGTGTCTACGTGTCAGGGATCAAGCCGAGTGTTGGAGAGAACCATGCAAACGGGGAGTGAGCGCAGCTGTTCCAGTGCAGTTTGCACAGCTATCAGAGGCCCTGCATCTGCATCTAGGATCTGACCAAGCTGCAGCAGGTTGGCTGTTTCTCCCCCTCTGGGCAGCCATGAAAATGGACACTTAGCTTCAGGAGCAAACAACTGACTTAAGAACAGCAACAGAGTCAGGGACTGGAGGAAGACAGAGCCTGGCCAATATGACTAGTCCCCCTCTTCTCCCCACCCCTCCTCTGTCCCTTGGAGTAACCAGGGAGATAAAGGAACCCATTTCCTCCTGTCCCCTGCAGGCATCTTAGTAACAGGAGACTCCTGGCTGTTGTAGTGCTGTCAGGTGTACCGAAGGAGGAAATCCCAGCCGTAATGCCCTCTTGCCCAGTTACTGTAGCTGAATGAGTCAGCCCCTGTGCGCTCTGGCTTTGCCCCGCTTGTGCATGAGCAGTCTTGAGGCACCTCTGCCAAATTGTGCAACATGGACCTTCCTCTCTCTGGCGAGAGCGAGGGAGTGGCTTGCTGTGGCATATGCCCTTGGGTAACTTGCAACCGGCTCCTCCTGCTGCTTTCTGCCCAGCAGCCTGATTTCCAAAGCAGTGACCTCTCCTCTGGTTTGGAGGCGGGGTTGCAATGTGGGTCATTCTCTTGGCTGGGATATTTCGCAGTCCTTATGCTGACTGTCACACCCCTTTGCCCGTGTGTCTGGAGGGGGACAAATGGTCTGCAACAGGAGTGGAATCCCATTGTAGAAGTTTCCCCATTCAGGAGGACAGTAAAACCTGCTAGTCCAGTAGTCTGGTCACTTACAGGACTAGCTGCACCTCTGAACACTTGCTGGTCTGAGTGCATCTCTCATGCCTCATGCCTTGGGCCTACAAAGTAGGGATGTGAAAGTTTAACCAGTGGGGGCCGGAGCAGCCCCTGCCTACTGCGTGTGGGGGAGGGCGGGGGGAGGCGTTCTTGCCTAGCTGGGCTGGAGCAGCCGCCCAACGTTCTCTTGAATCTGTTTAACTGGTTAAACAATATGTTTAACCAATTAAACAGGATTTTACATCCCTACAGCAAAGACTTAGTCGCTGTGTTAGAAAAATCTTGGGCATGCTAGGTGTGAGCGATTGCCTCTTGTTGGTTACTCTTGGTAGTAAAACGAGCTGTGCAGATACAGACTCGAATGCAGCCTGGATTGGAAATCACTGGGAGTTGCCACTTAGTGCATGGAGCACTGGTTCGTTCAGACACCCTGAGAACCAGGAAAAAAAGAAACGTACTTTATTTGTAGCTTACCGGGCAGGAGTTGTTAGCTTCTCTTTGGAGGCTTGTTGGGCTCCTGGGGGCCAGTCTACAAGGGGGTGACGGATTAAAATCGACTCAATCACTTTCTCTGTGGGAAAGTGTCCTTGGTGCAAACCACTCCTGCCGTTGACAGGAAGTAGAGCGTTTGTTCTCCCAGGTGTTGGCACAGACTGTGCCGGGTAGGCCGCAGGAGTTAGGACTGATTTGCTGTGCAGAGAACATAAGAACAGCCGCACTGGGTCAGACCAAAGGTCCATCTAGCCCAGTATCCTGTCTGCTGACAGTGGCCAGCACCAGGTACCCCAGAGAGAGTGGGCCGAAGACAATGATCAAGCGATTTGTCTCCTGCCATCCTTCTGCCATCCTTCTCCAGCCTCTGACAAACAGAGGCCAGGGACACCATTTCTCTCTCCTGGATAATAGCCTTTTACGGACCTAAACTCCATGAAATTATCTAGCTTCTCTTGAAACTCTGTTGTTGTCCTAGCCTTCACAGCCTCCTCTGGCAAGGAGTTCCACAGGTTGACTACGCGATGTGTGAAGAAGAACTTTCTTTTATTAGTTTTAAACATGCTACCCATTAATTTCATTTGGTGTCCTCTAGTTCTTCTATTATGGGAACTAATAAATAACTTTTCTTCATCCGCCCTCTCCACACCACTCATTTTATAGACCTCTATCATATCCCCCCTCAGTCTCATCTTTTCTAAACTGAAAGTCCCAGTCGTTTTAACTTCTCTTCATATGGGACCCGTTCCAAACCCCTAATCATTTTAGTTGCCCTTTTCTGAACCCTTTCCAAGGCCAAAATATCTTTTTTGAGGCGAGGAGACCACATCTGTACACAGTACACAGAGGGGCTCGCATTGCTGTTCTGGGGGTAGAGGACTAGGGTTTTCCAGCACTTTCCTTGTCGGTGTCAAACCACATCTGGTACTCCGTGGATGTGACCAGCTTGAGGAGTATGTGCTGGCCTGTCAGGAGCCTAGATGTCTTGCTAACCACCTTACAGCAATAAGATTTAGTACTGATCCGGGAGGGAAAGTTGTCCTCGCCTGTCCTTGCTGCTTTCTAAGGAAACAAGCAGCAGCAGAGTAGGACTAAATCAGACGCATCTATCCGTACTGTTAACTTCTGACACAATGAGACTCTGCAGAAAGCTTCTGCTTCTCCTACTCTCCTTTTGCAATCGGAAACAGCATTACCAGAGCGTGGTGGTTTCCACAGTTGGACTCTTTCTGGGAGGGAACTTGAACATGTAGCAAGACTGTCAATTTTTGCCTGCTTTCTGTGGAGGGAGAACCTGTCCTGACCAGCTTTACACCTGACACGCTGCCCTCTGGACCCTCCCTGAGGCGTGGGTGTTGGCTGCTTCCAGCCTCCCACTCAGCTGGCTGTAAAAAGCCTCAGTCTGTTCAGTCCAAACTGTAATTACTTGTGGCATTATCTCGAACCTAGCTGGGGTTTGACTGAGAGAGTTCTTCCTGGTCTCCTCCCAGCAGCCATGCTGTCATGAAGAAAATCCTGAGGCAGAAATGTATGGAGGGGTGTCCTGGTGGGTTAAGGACTAAGTGAGCTGGGTTCTGTTCCTGGCTTTGCCCCGGCTCCACTGGGCCTGTGTCTCATTACCCTTATTTTACCCAGACTGGGGAAAAACGCTGGCTTCCTGTAGAAAGTGTTCTGAGCTCTGTAGATGAAAAGTGCCATAGAAGAGCTAACTGGGGGTGATGGACAGGCGAGAAAACCCTAACGTGTAGCATAAACAGTGGTGCTTGGATCAACAGCCGGCGTGACGGACTCTAAACGTGGCTTGTGTCCGCGTGGCTTGCGGTAAAACTCTTCTGGTAACCGTGGCAACTCACCATGTCTGCACCCTACCAGAGGCCTAGCTTGAAACATGGGCCTGTGGGGTGGTTCCTATGGTGTGTTGGAATCTCTAACCATGTTCATAGGCTGCTTTAACCAGCCAAGCAGGGAGGAAAAGCAGCCTGCGGCTCTGTGCGGATGCCCGGGGCATGCTGGCGCCGTGACCTAAATGCATTGAGTCCAGGTGATGGGTGTGGCTGTACAGACAGTCATGCTGCCAGAAGCTGTTGTGTGGGCACAAGCGGAACAGCAACCTTTGTCCTACCTCGCTGCAGAATTGCTACTCCATGCCAGTGGGGGCAAGTCTGGGTAGAGGGGGAAGGGGCAGCCAGCAGGTGCTTCGGAAATTGCCGACCCCTTTGCTCGGGTGTGTATTAGGGCGGGAAGGCACCCATCCCATCCCATTCATGCCTGAGACTTTAGTCTTGGTGACGGGGCTGTGCCTGGCGTGTTCATGTGGCAAGGTGGGACGGTTTGGTTAGGGTGTGTTAGCATCTTCTACTCCAAGACGAGAGCCAGTCTAAAAGACCTGCCTCCCTCTCTTCCTTCCCCTGCCAGCAGTATGGGAGTATGAAGCGCATTCATATTCCTTGTTAACCTTCAGTGCTGTCACATGTTCATCTTCTGGAGAAATGGTCTGAAGCAAATAAGATGCAGCTTAATAAGGACAAAGGCAAAGTACTTCACTTGGGAAGGAACAATCCCTTTCACATGTACAGAAGAATGGGAAGTGACTGTCTAGGAAGGAGTACTGCAGAAAGGGATCTAGGGGTCGTAGTGGACCACAAGTTAAATATGAGTCAGCAGTGTCACCCTGCAAAAGAAGCAAACTTCATTCTAGGATGTATTAAGAGGAGTGTTGTGAGCAAGTCACGAGAAGTCATTCTTCCCCTCTACTCTGTGCTGATTGGGCCTCAATTGGAGTATTGTGTCCAGTTCTGGGCACTGCATTTCAGGAAAGATGTGGAGAAGGTCCAGAGAAGAACAAAAATTAACGGTCTAGAAAACATGACCTATGAGGGAAGACTGAAAGAACTGGGTTTGTTTAGTTTGGAAGAGAAGACTGGGAGGGTGTCTACATAGAAAAGATATTTTGGAATAATGGCCTTTATTCTGAAATAACTATGCGAGGATCTACACTGCAATTCTGTTTCAAAATTATTTCAAAATAACGGATGGCTTATTCTGACTTCTGTAAACCCCATTCTACGAAGAATGCCTATTTCGAAATAAGGCATGTGTAGATGCTTCACTTCCGCTGTTTTGAAATAGCCCCTCACCAAACCATTCTAAGTTATTCCTCCTGGGGAATCTAAATCGAGATAGCATGTCTACATTTGGAAAGCCTGCCTCAGACTAATTTTGAGGCTTCCTTGCAGTGTAGAAGTGCTATTTCAGAGTAACTATTCTGGAATAGTTTATTTTGAAATAACTGTGCAGTGTAGACTTAGCCGATGTGATAGTAGCTTTCAGGTACTTAAAATAGGTGTTAGGAGAAGGGAAAACCATTATTTTCCTTAATGTCTGATAGGACAAGAAGCAATGGGCTTAAATTGCAGCAAGGGAGGTTTAGGTTGGACATCTGAAAAAAACTTTCTACCTGTTTGGGTGGTTAAGCACTGAAATAAATTGCCCAGGGAGGCTGTGGAATCTGCATCACTGGAGATACCTTGGAGCAGGCTAGAGAGAACAAATGATAGTTTGACACCAGTGTCCTGTGAAGTAGGGATGTGAATGGCTAAGTGGTATGTATTACCCTTAACAAGGAAAAGTGACACTCTTTGCTCCTCAGGCCTCTTTCTCTGGCTTAATAGTTTCTTTCTCCTGCCCTAGTGCGTCTTCCATGCTGTCACGTAGACCCTTCTTGACTCAGAGGCCTGCTGGCTCCTGACTTTCTTCTCTCGTCTATGCAGAATCATTGCCAATATCGTCAAGACCTTCAAGTATATTTATGGCCTGAGGTTTGAGGTGCAAGGTCTGGAGAACTTCGAGGTGGAGGGGCCATGTGTCATCGTGTCAAACCATCAGAGCATCCTGGACATGATGGGTGAGTTGCTTGGGTGGGGAAAGTTGTGGTCTCTTGTTCAAAAGGGAACAGGTGTGTGTGGGGGGAGACACGACACCTAGTTTTGCTGTTGGGGAAGCTCTGTGCTTCTCCGTGAGTGGGAGAGTATCCAAGCTGTGTGGTGGAAGAGGCAGTAGGAGCCCTGTTTGGGTGTCACAAAGTGCATTGGCCAGTTCCATCAGCAGAAACTGCCCCACAGGTGTCCAAAGCCCCAGCAGTGTATTAAGGAAAGTGATGCACTGTATATTCGGGGGGCAAAAGGGGGGAGTGCCTATGGTCTGGCTCTCTAACCATAGCATGTGGGAAGTACTGAGCTCTGTAGCCTGGTATGTAGCAGCCTAGGTATTGCCAGGCTGGATCAGCCCCCCAGGTCTGTCTGGTTCAGTGTCCTCCATGATGGTGACGGCTGCCACCGGATGCTTTGAAGGCAGATGTAAGAACAGTTGTGGGATAATCCAGCACAGTCACAAGAGGGAATCAATAGTGTGAGTTCTAGTCTGAACTGTCCCTGACCAGCGCTGTGCCCCCTCCTGGGGAGAAGAATGTGGCTCTCCTCCTCTTCTTCTCCCCCCCCCTTCACTTCTGTCCGTGCTTTCTAGTGATCCTATGCTGGATATTTGTTACTATAGCTACCTAAGGGCACACATACGCTTCTGCAAAGATAGATGCTCTGGATGTTGAGCTTCTGGCATTTGATTTAGCAGGTCTGGTAAGGACCTGCTAAATCAAACACTCAGGGCGCCCCCTGTTGACCCCAGAACGCCTCTCGGTTATGAGGAGGAAGAGGAGTCGATGGAATTTTTCCTGTTGCCCACTCGCCGTGCGGCCCTCCCAGAAAAATCAGTGCAAGGTACATCGACTCCAGCTATGAGAACTGCGTTTATCTTGCATCAGTATTTCTCCGCCAGTGTAGACCTGAGGCTCTGAACAGATATAGCGGGGCCTCCCTGATTACTGACCGATGGTAAGCATGAGTCAAGTCTAGGCCTTTATTTCAGGGCAAGCACAGAAGAACCTTTCCATGAAACTGCAGGTTAAGGTCTGCCGGTGGCCTAGGGCCAGGTGCTCCTTTCAGAATTGACTGGCTGCCCTAGCAGAGGGCTGCAAAGCAACCTTCCTCCCCCGCAAAGCTCTAAAAGGCAAGCCAGGCAATGAGGGATGTGGAGGGGCACCCACAGGCCGTGCTCCCACTTTCTCCAGGTTGGGGCACTGGTCCTGGGGGGGGGGTCAGTGCGTCAGCTGGAATGCCTCTTGGCTTGCTTGGGTACGTCCCGAGGGCTTGTTCCTCTTGACAGATGTGAACATGACAGGGGTAGTGAAAGGCTTTAAACCAGCTTGGCTAAGCAGGTGGGCAAACAGAGCCCTTTGAAGGAGGGAGGAGATGGTGGCACAGCCCCGCAACTCCACAATTGAGACTGCACTGTTAGTGTCCTTAGATATGGAGAGACACCTTAGGGTCTCGGCTGTGGAGCAGGAACCCGCTGTGCTCGGTGCTGTACAAATGCCACTTGAGTCCAGGAAGGATCAGGCGATCTGAAGATGGTGGTGGAGTCTGACTCCACCTTATAGACATGGGAGCAAGCAGGGGGTCTAACGCTGAGGTAAAGTGAGCGATGGCCAAGCTGGAATAAAACCCAGGTTCCCCCCCCTTGCTTGCAGCCCTTGGCTTTTCAGGATGGCAGCAGGTGCCTGTATTTTAAATTACCTTTCTGGGCTGCAGCCCCTATTCAGGAAGCCACGGTCATAGCATGCCCAAATATATTTGCTGCTGCTCCTCTGCTATAGAACAAAGGAGGCCTCTGAAGCAGACCTCCTAAAACAGCTGCATGTTCCCCAGGTTTCCTTCCCCCTCCTGCCCGCATGCCGTGCCCTGGTCTCATTCCATCCTCCTATGACCAACTCTCTTTGGTGTCTAATACCTGAAATACCCTCTGTGCTTTGAGCACCAGCTGTGCCAGTGAACCGCCACCCTGCCTGAACACACAGGCTGTTGCGCCCCTTAGCTCCGGACATTTGCTGTCAAGCCTGGCTCAAGTTCATCTGCTGCCGCTCTGGTTTGCAGGTGAAAGAAGGGTGTTCCAGCTTGGCTTACTGTGGGTGGGTGTCTCTCTCTCCCTCTCTCTGCTCCTGGCTTAGGGTTGATGGAAATCCTCCCCGATGACTGTGTTCAGATCGGCAAGAAGGAGCTGCTGTACACAGGGCCGGTGGGCCTGATCATGTACCTGGGCGGTGTCATCTTCATCAACAGGAAGAGCACAAGCAATGCCAAGACGGTGATGTCTGGAGTGGCTCAGACCATGCTGGATGAGAACGTGAGTATGGTACATGGCCAATAGAGACCAGCAGTGCCTAGCACGCTCACAGTTTAGAGTAGAGTGATGCACATTATGGGACATAGATGTCCAGTGGATTAAGTAGAGGAGGATACTTGGAGAACTAATGTGGACTTCAGATGTCCATCCTGACTGTACCTACAACCCACAGCAACATCTTGGCTACGTCTAGACTGGCATGATTTTCCGCAAATGCTTTTAACGGAAAAGTTTTTCCATTAATAGCATTTGCTGAAAAGAGCGTCTAGATTGGCACGTCCGTGCCAATCTAGATGCAGTTTTGCGCAAGAAAGCCCCGATCGCCATTTTCGCCATCGGTGCTTTTTTGCGCAAAACAATACCGCGTTGTCTACACTGGCCCTCTTGCGCAAAAGCATTTGCGCAAGAGGGCTTTTGCCTGAAAAAGGGAGCAGCATAGCATTTCTGCAAGAACACTGACAATCTTACATGAGATCGTCAGTGTTCTTGCGGAAATTCAAGCGGCCAGTGTAGACAGCTGGCAAGCTTTTTCGGAAAAACTTGCCAGTCTAGACTCAGCCCTTCTGTTCCAAGCAACTCAGAACAGGTATACAGTCTAGAGAGATTGTTTGGTCAGATTATGTGGGTTAATTCTACAGCTGTAAATTCCATTTATTCAGCTGATCTCCCTGTCTTGCAGGTGAAGGTTTGGGTGTACCCAGAAGGCACGAGGAACGGGAATGGGGACTTGTTACCGTTCAAGAAAGGCGCTTTCCATCTCGCGGTACAGGCACAGGTAAAGCTTGCTGACCTCTCAGGGCTGCCGACGACCTAAACAGGCCTTCCACCAAAAGGACTGCCACTGGCCACGTGGGAATTCTTGAATGTCACTTAGCATGCTCACGTGTATGGACCAGAGTGCCCAAGACAGTAAATGGCAGAGGGGCAGCTTTCTCACCAGGCACCCTGAAATATGAATCTCCTTGGAAGACTGCTCCTGAAACTTTTTTTGAGGCTCTTGTTCCTGTCTTGTTTGTGGAGGGCTGATCCGGCCAGCAGTAAACCTTTCTCCCTGCTGCACTATGAGCAGAACACGTTTTAGCAGCTGTACTCCTTCTGGGCTGAACACGAGGCCTCTGCAGTTTTGCACACAGCAACATGGGCACGGATGTGCTCTGAGACTTGCTGGGCTCTGGGCTTTGATTTCTCCTCTCCCAAAGCAGACTCCTTCACGCTGATGGGTGGCACCAGCCTATTGGCTCCCCACTCCTCTGATCTTCAGTCTCTGGGATGATTTGTGGGTGAAAAGCTGCGCAACAGCCCAGGGAAAGCCTCCTTCCCCATCTCTCATGGGTACAGCACAAGCAGCAGCAGGGCCAACCTAGAGCAGCCCGGGAGAGATTTCTCCCCATAGCCCACTCAAAAGTCCCTCAAAGAGGGGCAGTGCAGCTTGAGAACCAGAGCACTCCATGGGGCTTCACATGCTAGTCGCAGCCCTTCCTTCTGAAATAGCTGCTGCTAAGCAGTGGAGAGCCCTGTGTCTGGCATGCTTGCGTGTTCCCAAACCCCAGTGACATACAGGAAGGAGCAGGTGATCCCACTTGGCCATTCCTGAGGTCTTGTCTGGCTGACTGCTTTGTCCGCTATAGGCAAATCTCCATTAATTTAGCTATCTCCTAGAACTGGAAGGGACCTTGAAAGGTCATAGTCCAGTCCCCTGCCTTCACAGCAGGACCAAGCACCATCCCTGATGAATTTTTGCCCCATATCCCTAAATGGCCTCCGCAAGGATTGAACTCCCAACCCTGGGTTTAGCAGGCCAATGCACAAACCACTGAGCTACCCCCTCCCTAGGCTAGCCCACTGCCATCTAGACTCAGTGAGCTGACGGAAGGCATTGTTTGCTGGTGTCTTGTAGCCCCTGTCTTCCCCATGGGTGGCGGGTGAAGGCCCAGCTGGGGAAGGTGAGCACCAGACCCGCCCCTGCCACCTGAGGCCCCGCCCACTCCAGCCCAATCCTTCCCGGCCACCTGGAGAACCAGGGCTGTCATGCAGTGGCTCCAGCCCTCCCTGGTGGCTGGGGAAGCCGTGCTGCTGCACTGCAGCTGGGGCGTGTAGGCAGTTTTGGGACGGCAGTGCCCATGCCCTTCCCAAACAACGTTAGCTGTGCTGATAGTAGGGTGGGGGTTTTTTGATTGACACTGCTGGGTGTACACGCCAGAGTTTTGCCACTATTGATACGCTGGCGCAGGGTGTGTGACTTGTATGCTCCTTGCCTGGGGGCCGCTTAATGAATTTTGGTATGTGGTCACAGGCTGGCTCCATTCCCCCACCCCGGAAGGGGCAGGAGCGGGGCTGGGGACTAG